ACCATGACGGTGTTCACATTTTTCAAATATTCTTCTAGAAGTGTTATCAGTCTAGCTCCAACTATCATAAGTACTATGTTTGTATTCCTACTTTAAATTCAAAAGCAGCAAATGTAAAAGATTCATGTCGCACCCTTCACCACGGGACGTGATCGTCGTTAGACGTGGCAAACCTGCGAGTGACAGGTGGATAACCCCACCAGTGAATAAAGATTAATAGTTTTTATGATTTTTGGACTTAAAAGACATTATTTGTGAGACATTTTTCATAATTTTTTGTTTATGTCCATAGTAATTGCATTATGCATCACGGAGATGTAGGGATTGACACGTCTTACACATATTATCTGTGTTTTAGGATGGAGAGGACAATGTTTTTATTGCTTTGAAGAAATTCATTAACCCGTAAATTAATAAATGATTATTATTAAGATGTAAAGGAAGATAAGGAATTGGATGGAATGTATTCTTTATTCTATTTTCTTGCAAAATACAGACAAATCCACACTATTCAACAGGTATGTAATAACAGTATATTGAACTTAAATTCGAGATTGCCATGAATTAACAAACGTCCAAATCTGCTGCCAAATTTAACAGCTAGAAAATCCACCTATTATTTGCCGCATTCCCATTGGCTTTTGGGGATAACTGATTGTTAAATGTAAATTAAATCAAATATTTGATAACAAGAAGAAAAAATGCATTTTTTATAGAAAACTGATAGTATTGTTTTTTAGTCATCTCTATATACACACCATGAAATAATCAGATGAAAATGATTTACAATACTGCTCCAAACAGGCAGTTTAAAAAAAGGAAATGCTACCTTAAACTGAACCAAATTCCTGCTTGCTCTAATATTCATCTACTATATAAAAACATTGCAAATGTTATTAACTTTTTATCCAGGTCTGACACATTTGGCACGAGGTAGACCCCAGTGATGATGCAAAAAATTCAAAACAAACAAGAAATAGTGGAGCTTGAAATATTCTGACAAACTTTTAAATTACAACCAGTGGCAGTTTTGTGGCATAAATATCTTGGATCACCTTTCTCTGTCTGTGTGCTATCTGCCCGACAATTTTTGTAAATCAATTTAAAAAATGAAAAAGCATTTTCTCTGCTTAACCATCAGCATATTCTCATTAGCTTTTCGTGGTAAGAACAAACGAGAACTCATACCCTCAAACCTACTACCCCTGAAGAAATACATAAATCCATCAATGAACCATTTCGCTAATTTGAGTGTGATGCATTAGGCCATTAAGTTGAAAACGGCACAATTTAAATCTTAAGGTGACATTAAAAGCTCATAACCCCAAACGACTCATTATATAAGTTTCCGAACTCGGTGTCTACCAGCAACGGATTATGACGATTCCTGTGTTTATTAAACACCTAAGGATATTAATTTATAGTCACATTATAAAAACGTTGTAGTCGTAGAAGAACAGGTGGCGTAAATACACAGACGATTTGTTTGAAAAAAAATAATTCATTTGCTAATCTGATCAAAAAAGTACAGCGGTTTGAAGTAGATGTGATTTATAGTATATCTGAATATAGACTGATATCTTCTTGCAGATGCAGTGAAAAAACTGTATTAACATAACTCAGGAATAACAATGGCCCTAAAACCGATCCCTGTGGAAGTTGGAAATGGAGAAACTTAAAATTAACACTGATTAATTATTTGCAAAGCAGAAGGAATCTACAGAGAAATAAATTGATTTTATGCGTCGATATATAGTTATGGATAATGGAAAATTAAACCGCACATTGAACTGAGCCGGGTTGTTTTGATCCGAAGTTGTCGAAATCATCTGAAAGAAGATTATGACATTCATTTTTTGGGAAGTCAAATCGACATTAGTGATAGGGTACCTGCAGACAAAACTATTACAATATAATATTATTAAAACGTTCTAGGGCACGTTTTGCGAATGGTAAAAAGGATCTTAGATCAGGACAATGCACCGACTCAGAGTAACGCTTTAACAATGACAAATTAATTTCGAATTTCTTGAAAACCCACCGTACTCACCAGACTTTCATTCGTTTCCGTGCTTCAAGTCCAGGTGAAGAAGTCATTACATCCGTAGGCTGGTATTTTGAAAAGCTTCTAGAGAACTAATTCAGCAAAAGTCTAAAAGTACCGCTATAACATATTTCTGATTATACAGAACTTTATGCCACCTCGTTTTGCGTTCCCAAGGTAACTCCATATCGGTTACGAAATACACTTGTCTTAGCGATCTACTGAAGCAAAAGTAACTCCCCTGGCGACTATAAATACTTGGTTATAGGGGAACGCGGGTCACGAAACTCCTTCAAATTCCATCGGAAGTTATCTAATTCACCCAGCAATCATGCAACTTCCAAGGGGGAGAGTTGCCATTTAGAAAGTGATCAGTCAGATGCCAGGTAGAATTGAAATAAATCCGCCTTCTATTAGTAAGGCAGAAAACTGGCTAGTTTACAGAATGCCGCATTATTGTTATACCTATCTCGAACGGATTTTTAGATTTTATCGATAAATAATCAATCTTACACAAAACCATTCTTAATTGTAATGCTTAATACAATATAATTATAAGAGTAGGTGGTTTCTGTTTGAAAAAAATGAACTTCTGAGTTTTTCTGGAACTTAATTATCTTTTTTTTAATCGCCTTGTATTACTATTTATGCGAATATCCAATAAAGTCTACTAAAGTAACTTAACCGTTACAGATCTTATGGCGAAGGCAGAGATGCTGAAACAATGGATTTAACTTATAATAAATAGGACGACATAGAAGAAGTGTTTACAATCCAACATTTTAATGATAGTCAGGGTTTCATTTAAAATAAGTAAATTCGGCATAAACTGAAGTGCCATGATTGAAAATATCTTCTTCGAATAACTATTTACTAAATCCCAAATTTTCATGCGGCTGAAGTTCCGATCGATCACGTTCTGATCGAAACAGTAAAAAGGCAGACGAAAATTTGCCATTACCACTTCTACTGACGTAATATGGGTCCAAATAAACATAAATCGATGCGGTTTTCACGCAGTTCGATTGTATTACTGGCTGTCTATGTACTGTAAGAGTTTTATCTCCCTCCTCCAAAATCTTCCTCAAAGTGAGGAGAAACGTGAAAAAATTGCATTAAAATATACCTGGAGAAATGCGGTTTTCACGTAAAGTCCGGAACCCTCCGTTTTTGACCCCTCTTTATTTATACATGACAAATTTGAAAAAATCTATTATTCGTCAAATCAGCCGAAGACCAAAAAGTTTGTTACATTTCTGGCATCAATATAATATACTCTATCACACCCTACCAGCCGTTTTCCCAAAGCAAGTCCGGAACCCTCCGGTTTTAACCCCTCTTTATTTATACATGACAAATTTGAAAAAATCTATTATTCGTCAAAACAGCCGAAGACCAAAAAGTTTGTTACATTTCTGGCATCAATATAATATACTCTATCACACCCTACCAGCCGTTTTCCCAAAGCAAGTCCGGAACCCTCCGGTTTTAACCCCTCTTTATTTATACATGACAAATTTGAAAAAATCTATTATTCGTCAAAACAGCCGAAGACCAAAAAGTTTGTTACATTTCTGGCATCAATATAATATACTCTATCACACCCTACCAGCCGTTTTCCCAAAGCAAGTCCGGAACCCTCCGGTTTTAACCCCTCTTTATTTATACATGACAAATTTGAAAAAATCTATTATTCGTCAAAACAGCCGAAGACCAAAAAGTTTTTTTACATTTCTGGCATTAATATAATCTACCTTATCACTCCCTACCAGCCGTTTTCCGAAAGCACGTCCGGAACCCTCCGTTTTTGACCCCTCTTTATTTATACATGACAAATTTGAAAAAGTCCATTATATGCGGGCCTCGCTTGTAAATAAAACACTTGTAGTTTCCCCGACTGGGTCGAATTCCACACGTTATCCAAGCTAAAAAAGAGCGACAATGTTGCAACCCTGCTCCCGCGTCGCCGGTACAGTCATTCTTCGTTTGTGTGTCGAATAAACTCACACGTACGCGTAAACAAAGTAGTTTAGTGACCAGAAAAATGCCCAAGCATAAGAAGCGCCGCCGTAGCAGGAACAATAGTGATGATAGAAGTCGGGAGAAACGTCTGAAAAGGCAATTAGCTGCGATGGAGCGGCGATTGAGTGAAATTGAGCGATCTCGTTCACGAGGATCTTCCCGGCCGCCATCTTCCATTCGATCAGCGTTGACGCTGTCGCCGCCGCGGCAACCACCCGTCCCAGGCACAGACGCATGCAGCATTGCCAGCTCTTCCGATCTTTCGGAGATCTGCGAAAACATTCCAGGTAAGCAAAATCAACTCGAAAGGGCATTGGCACGGAGTCACATTCTTACATAGCGTATACCAAAGTGCTTCAATGAGCCTATTCTGAACAATAATTGAATACTTGACTCACGAACATGTGTTAGGAGACCAATCTTCAACTGATACCAGATTGTTATAATAGTTATAATAGTATTGCACATCAAGAGCTTATGACAGCTCACTACGATACTTATGACAGTATGGTAGATCACAAGCATATGAAACTCTGATAAAATACTTATGACAGTATTGGTTATCACAGACAGCGCGCCGCAATGCTATGATAGCACTACAGATTATGAGCTCACGACAGCTCCCTACAATGCTGAGGACAATATTCTCCATCACAAGCTTGCTGCAATACCTAGATAATATTGAATTTATGAGATTATGCATCTCGCTATCGCCCTACCTCGCACACGCTCGTGACCGCTCGCCACAATGCTTATGATAACATTGCACAATATGAACTTATGACAGCTCATTACAATGCTTATGACAGCGATCCCTATTACAGATTATACACCGCGCTCCGATATTCATGACAGCATTGCACATCTTGGGCTTATGACAGCTCGCTATGATACCTGAAACAGTTTGGTACACACGAACTTGTGACAGCTCGCTACTACATCTACATTGGCATTGACATTTGGAATTTATGCAGCTCAACTGTGCGAGCCACGTGTAACGTTGCACGAACTCAGAACATGCCAACATGTCAAAAATGATTGACGGACTCTCTGATTTTCGATTTATAGTAAACATCGAAGAACACAGTAAGGAGAATACGCCGCCTCAAGGGGAACAACTAGAGGAAGATATCCTCAACATCTTGAGGAAAATACAATAAAGCAGCCAGATGTAGGACCGGCTATCCACAATGATCTGGCAGTTCGATGGGCTCACAACATGCAGATGGGTTTGGAAGAGGAAGAGAAGAACAGATTATTAGAAAAATACCTCCCCCCTGAAAATTGTACTCAGGTAAAAGCTCCAACACTTAACTTGGAGGTCAATGCTGCAATCTCCAGCTCTGTGTAGCAGAGAGACGAGAGACTCTCTGCTTTACAGCGCCAAATAGGCGCTAGCCTGTCCTGTATAGGCAGCGCTCTGACCCTCATCCTCAAAGAAGAGGGAGGGGGCGACAGAACGTACATCCAATTGCTGAATGATACCAGCAAACTATTGACTGACCTGCATCGCGCAGAAAGCATTGCTCGTCGCGAACTAGTAGCCCTTAACTTGAACTCTGACGTAAAACAGATCCTATCGGAAGCCACAGTTGATGGGCTGCTCTTTGGGACAGACTTAGAAGCCAGACTAAAATCTTCCAAAGACCTGGAGAAATCGGGCAGGGAGCTGAAGGCCGTTAAGGCTAAGCCACTACAGAATGCTGCCAAGCCGTTAAACTACCAAAGTCTGCCTCGTATCAGCAGGGAGCATGTCGAGGCGGACATCAACACCAGCGCCTCAGTTACTCCACGAACCGCTACAAACCACGTCGAGAGCCACCACGTCGACTGAACCAGGGGAGTCAGAACAGCTACAAACTCAAAACCAGGAACCCAAGACAGTAGATAAGGTTAGCATAGCTGGAAGATTAGCTTCCTTTTATCACGAGTGGCAAAAGTTCACGAATGACAGAATGATCTTGTCATGGATTAAAGGGGTAAAATTACCCCTATCGCAGAAGCCAGTCCAACGATGCCTTCCTAAAGAGCCTAAATGGTCTTTCAAGGAAGAAGCCACCATTAAAATAGCGCTTAAAGAATTGAGCGGCATAGGGGCAATCAGCACGGCCAAACCGTCAAATAGGCAATACATCTCAAATATATTTCTCCGAAAAAGCACGATGGTTCAGATAGGGTAATTTGAAACCTGAAACGCGTGAACAACTTCATTCAAGTTAAACATTTCAAGTTAGAGGACCACAAAACGGTTGCGAAAATAATGTCACAAAATTGTTACATGGCCAAATTAGATCTCAAAGATGCATACCTCTTGGTACCAATACATCATTCATATAGGAAATTTCTCAGATTTAGATTTAAACGTAAGCTTTATGAATATAATGCAATGCCATTTGGCTTAAATTGTGCTCCTCTAATATTTACCAAACTAATGAAGCCCATATTGGCAAACCTCAGAGGCAAGGGCCATTTGTCTGTGCTTTATCTCGATGATTTCCTTATGATAGGAAAAACTTACTCCGAATGCCTGAGAAACATACAAGAAACAACAAAAATTCTAGAGCATCTTGGCATTATTATTAACTATCACAAAAGCAAGTTAGTTCCTTCAAGGCACATCGACTATTTGAGCATGCATTATGACTCGCTAGACATTTCTGTAAGCCTGACACCAGAAAAAAGGGTTAAAATGCAGAAGCCTGTAAACGCATTTGCAAAACGCAAATGTTGTAAAATTAGGGAGTTTGCTAAATTTCTGGGCAATATCGTCGCAAGCTGCCCCGCGATCAAATATTCGTGGGCATACACGAAAAACTTTGAACGGGCCAAATATTTGGCTCTCAGGAAAGCAGCCAATAACTATGACGCCAAAATGGAAATTGATGCTTCGCTGTTACCTACTTTCAATGGTGGTTACAGAAATTGCCGTTCGCGAAAAATACCATTCGCGTGGACAACTACGACATTGAAATTTTCTCAGATTCATCCCTTACAGGCTGGGGTGCATCTGCCAACAATGAGAGTAGATCTGGGTTCTGGAACTGTACAGAACGAGAACACCATATCAATTATCTTGAGTTATTAGCCCCTTTCCATGCTATAAAATCGTTTGCGGGAAAAATGACCAATTGCAACATACTATTGCGTCTGGACAACACCACAGCACTGGTATACATAAATAAAATGGGCAGTGTACAATACCCAAAATTGAGTGCGCTGGCCCAAGAGATTTGGAAGTGGTGTGAGGACAGAAATATGTTCCTTTACGCAACCTATATCCCTTCAGCGGAAAATAAGGAAGCGGATTCCGCATCGCGAATACGCCAGACAGAAACGGAGTGGTCACTCAGCCATACGGCTTTCGAAAAAATACCTTTACGGTATGGGATTCCTGACATAGACCTGTTTGCGTCACAGGATAACGCGAAATGTGATAAATATGTATCGTGGCAAGGCGACCCACACTGTGTTTCCGTCGACGCATTCATTGTAAATTGGCATGGCCTATACTTTTATGCCTTCCCGCCTTTTTCATTGGTCCTTCGCACGCTACGGAAAATTATTCGAGATAAAGCAGAGGGAATATTGGTTGTACCAGTTTGGAAGGCTCAATCGTGGTACCCAATATTCTCCTCGATGCTCACAGAAGAACCATTAATTTTTAAACCATCTGACAATCTTCTCTCCCTGAATAATAGGTCACAACCGCTTTGGCACAACATTTCCCTGTGGCAGGGCGCTTATCCTACAAGGCCTTAAACAGGGCAACGTCCCAGATGGATCGTTAGAAATTTGCCTAGCCGCAGTAACGGACTCGACCTTAAAGCAATACAACTCTGGCATCAGGACCTGGTGGGAGTTCTGCCAGGCAAGGAACATTGACTTATTCAAACCTACTCTAAGCGCATTAATGGATTGCTTTGCAAGCGTATTTGGGAAAGGAGTCTCATACGGTACTCTGAACTCTTATCGAACTGCGATAGGCCATATCATTGGAGGAGAACTTACACAAGATCCTCGAGTGAAAACATTTTTCAGAGGTGCGTACAATATACGTTCCAACCCTCCGAAGTATGAGGACACATGGGATCCGGAATTGGTTCTCAACCTTGCTCGTAAACTCCCTAATGACGGTATCACTCTTGAGCAGCTGACACGGAAATTAGCTATACTCTTGGCTATCTGCACTGGACAGAGGGTCCAGACTCTCCATAAATATTGAAGTACAAAATATTGTTACCGTAGATGATAAGATAGAGATAAAAATACCTAAGAGGCTCAAGTCCTCTGGTAGAAACGTGCCACAACCTACACTAATCCTACCGTTTTTCCATTCCGAAAAAGATATTTGTCCTTCAACAGCTTTACAGATATATTTGGAAAAAACAAAACCCATTAGGGGCACCACAGAGAAATTATTTATTACAACTAAGCCACCGTTTCGTAGCGCCTTCACGCAGACCATAAGTAGATGGATCAAAGCAATGCTGAGGGCAAGTGGGATTGATACAGATAAGTATAGCTCACATACTACCAGACATGGCTCTACCTCCGCCGCAGCGCGCAGGGGTTTTAACTATGATACATTCCGCAAAGCAGCAGGTTGGAGGGAAAAATCAAAGGTTTTTGCAGGGTTCTACCAGAGGCCTTTAACTTCAACCGAGATATTCGCTGAGGCAGTGTTACCCACCTAGCATTAAGCTATGGAAATATGTTCTAGCAAAGGTTTAAGATCAGCTTAGTTGTTGCACTCGCTTTAAACAACTACAAGTGTTTTATTTACAAGCGAGGCCCGCATATAATTGTTAGATTAAACGAACTTACCTTAAGTGAAGTTCTATCTTAATTATATGCGGGCCTCGTGAAGTAAATAACGCCCACCCAAAACCCAGTAAACCCTAGAAAGTGCAACAACGTGGGGCTTTGAAGAAGAATGACTGTACCGGCGACGCGGGAGCAGGGTTGCAACATTGTCGCTCTTTTTTAGCTTGGATAACGTGTGGAATTCGACCCAGTCGGGGAAACTACAAGTGTTTTATTTACTTCACGAGGCCCGCATATAATTAAGATAGAACTTCACTTAAGGTAAGTTCGTTTAATCTAACAATTATTCGTCAAAACAGCCGAAGACCAAAAAGTTTTTTACATTTCTGGCATCAATATAATATACTCTATCCTGGTTGTCTACAGCCTACTTTACGAGCTTTTCGTACCAGTATAAATGAGCTACGCAAATTTCTCCCGACTTTACAGTATGCAAATCAAAGTGCGATATTTAATTTATTGATATTATCGATTGAGGTATCGCCTGATTGATTTGGAAGGTTATTTTGCATTGCACTCATAAAAATGATTGAAAACTAGTTTGTCGTGCCGTGACAGGAACGGCGATTTATTATACTCCTAGTATAATGGTTCACCTAACTCAGATCCTGTTGCAACAACCAGTCTGTTTTGTTGCTTCGGTACTTCTCAAGTTATAGGCGGTTATCAGATTAGCGGACAGACTGGCAGACCTGCGGAACATAGATTCTCTTCGTGATGTACATCCAAAAACATATTGAAAATTTTCGCGATTACAAAAACGTTACAACATAGAGCCTAGCCCACATTTTAATTCTCGTTTGCTATTTTTAGGTCAATATAGGTATACCTACGAGTATATCCAGATTCCTAGCATGACCCGTTCAAAATTTATTTTTATTAAAAAAATATTGGGATGTCAACTAGCTAGTCACCTTCACATCATGTATCTCCTGTCAACAAACAAATATTTTACGACGAGCTGTCTTTCATGAAGAAAAACTTTTGACACACATCCAAACAGACCGTCTTGTCCGTTGAGATGAATTAGTAACAGGTTGGTAGTTGGTTAGACACTCTTAATGAATGAACGAGCTAAGTAAATAGGTTATTGTGTAACGAGTGGCCGATTCGACCTATTTTCCAGCTTATTCATGTACCTACTCCTAACCTGCGACTGTATACTGAATATCGTAGAGCACTTTCAACCATCCATGGAGTTGTATGACCAATAAAATTAATTTCTTCACTTCAAATGGTTTTCATTTACATTTTGTACTACATCAAGCAATATGTTGTTAATAAAATGTGCAAATAAATCTGAAGGGGAAGAGTCTACCAACCGTAGCCGACCTTTTTTAGACATTGATGTTCAACTAACCATAACGAATCATCATTGACATGATTTCATGTTCACACTTATGAATCTGAACAAATGACATTTCGGCGGCGTCCGTAGTCTATATATCAGTATTTTTAAATACAGGGTGTTCCTTAATGACATGCGAATATTTAAGTGTGTGAATCTACATGAAAAAATAATGTTAGTTTGCTTTATAAATTATGGTACAAAAATGTTTTTTTACAAAAACTCCGGGTGTTGAAGTTTTAGGGAAAAAATAGAAATTAATTAATATTTTCAGAACCGCTTCAGATATTTCACTGATATTTACCACGTAGTGAAACTTTTTAGCTTTAACAGTGGCTTGCGTACGGGTATTGACTTCGATATTTTTTAAGAAAAAAATGGTACGCCAATGGTTTTTTGCTAAATAAAGATTATTTTTGAATTCCCCGTTCAATCTAAAACATATGATCTCTCTTGAATTGTTTTCCTTCGATGTGCCATTTTTTGAGTAAAAAAATAAAAACCGTTCTATTGTCTAACTTGCAATATTATTATTAATTTAATTGGAAAAATTGAACACATTAGGAGTAATGAACAACAACAACTGTCTACATAAACATAACATAAAAACCAACGAAATGATTACATAAATTGTTGAAATGGCCCCCTTCACTTAATATGCATGCTTCCGCCCTCCTTCTCATGGAATTGCTCACTCGAACACCCTGTATATACCTACGATCCCAAGATTTTTTGAATTCAAGTAAATGCTTTGTGACGTCTAAGTCACGAAAAAATCAGAGCGAAAATCCGTGCCATGTTTCTAGATCTTTCCATATTTTTAGGAGGGTTATTTTTTCTTTTGCAAGTATGAAAGTTGTTTCTAACCTTAGTAACAAATCACTGACCATTCCATGGCGTGAAAAATGAGTTTTGAAAATGATCTAAGCCTCGTGTTGACACTTTTTATTAGCAAAATTATTGAAATTCATACACAAAACTAAGCGAGCCATTTTCAATAAAATTCCTATTTGGTAATTTACAAATCAAATTCTTCTGAATCCTATTTAGCAATATTTGTTTACTATGGATTGACCAACCTCACATTCACCACCCCCATCACTTTTTTTACACCGAAGTTGATCCGATTTTTAAACTGCCTCAAGCTGGTAGAACTGGGAAAGGTCTCCTCTTGTAGATTGTTCCACAATCTCGACACCCTAGGTACAAAGCAGTGGTCGTATCGGCCAGTTCTGGATGTACGCAGTTCGACACGGTTAGGATGGGAAGCCGAAATCGTTCGGGACTGTCTGGAAGGCACATTGCGCGGCGGCATCATGGAGGAGAGCTTTGAGGAGCAAAGCCCATTGCCCTGGCGGTAGAAGAGAGCTAGATCGCCGTCGGCCTGCAATTGCGAAAGGGTCTAAAGACTGTTAGTTAGAGAAAAGTCACCTTTCAGTAGGACCCTTTCTTCTGACACCCCATTTAGCATTTTCGTTTACTATGGATGGATCCCCATAACACCATAACTTTTGAACAGGTCAACGAATATCCATCATTTAGACAGTTAAGACTAAGAAAAAAACGCATTCAAATGGGTTCATTCGTTGGGGAGTTACGATGCCACAAACATACAGACAGATACACACAATAAACTTATTTGTGCTTTTTGTCGGAGGTTAAAAACACTCGTGGCTCAAGTAAGGACTCGATCTAATTAGGAGTCAAAACTTCAAAATAGAGTGGATAAAAAGGTACGTAAATATTCTTCTTTTCTTAACGTTGCTCAAGGCCAGTTTTTAAGGGTTCTCCTTTTCTAAATTGGCTGGAGTCATAAATTAATTGTGAGCCAAAACGTTTTTGGTGACGGCTGTACGAGGGATGTCTTTTAAGTTTTGCATTGTCTTGGTTGATTTTTCGAAGCTCGGTGATAACTTTTGGCAAACAAATGGTGGTATACCAATCCGCAGTAACATTTATTTGCTCGTTAAGAGGATTTGTTGAAATATGACCCGCTTTTGACACAAATGTCGCGACCATTTTTTTCGAAACACTTCGAGAACGGATGACTTTTGTTGGCTTTTCTTCACCTTGGAACACCCAAACAGCCGACAGTCGTTTATTTTCTGGTTCATAACAGTAAATCCACGATTCATCACCACTAACAATGCTGTACACATTTTTTGAGTTTCCGGAATTCAAACAGTCAAGCGTTTTTTGACACCAATTAAACCTTGGCTGCTTTCTGCTCTTCAGACAACAGGTGGGGTATCCAACGAGAAACTAATTTTCTTACTCCTAATTCTTCATGTAAAATTTTTTGAAATGAGGTCTTTGAGATCTTCGAGGACGCCTCAATCTCGCGATATGTCACATGTCTATCTTCAATGATGAGTTTGCGCACAGCATCGCCGTCTTCCTGGGTGACTGCCGTTTTTGGTGCACCCACTCTGGGATCGTGGCTAAGACTCACCCGTCCACGTTTGAATTCTTCATACCAACGGAAAATTGTCGACTGATGTGGCGCATCGTTGCCAAAAACAGACAGTAACTTAGCAAGGCATTCTTGTTGCGATAATTGTCTCTGAAAGTTGTAATAGATTATGCCGCGAAAATGTTCTCGGTTGAGTTCCATTTTTCTAACGACTTGGTGACACTTAAAAATTTACTGTAGTGAGAACACACGTATTGTTGTGAAACTCTGAATTTAAGTTTACTAAAGAGGGAGGTTAAGATTCAGTACTGACGTTCGATCCGCGCGGCCTACTATGTTTTTATATGCAAAACTTAAAAGACATCCCTCGTAGCAGTCAAATTTAAGAAGATTGGTATGTATTTACAGCTTTTTCTGTAGGGTCACTGTGGTAAATAATCCAGTGTTATTGAAAAATATTCACCGAACGGAATAAATATCAATTCAGAGGAAATGTTACTTGTCTTAAGTAAAATCATTGCAGGTAAAGCTTTGGTTGTATTTAACGAGGATATTCGACATCTTTGGTCACTTGAATTTAAGTAAATACTCCATGCAGTTAGTATTAATATGTGAGAAAATTTAATGAATCTATATGATCTATACATTTTTGTTTCAATAAGAAGCCTCCGTCACTGAAATGATTTACGAATGCAATAAAGCGTTTTCCTGCCAGCCATAGGTATAGATAAACTGGTGTTACAACCTGTGTTATAATTGTTTTATAATCCAAAAAGTACTTTAGGAAGCAGACATCAAAAGACAAGCAGAACAAAGGAAAGAAGTAGCATTAATCTTTCTTCTTCACATAAACATTGTTATAACACAATATCTTGAGCTCTTTTCCCATGTATCTCCATTCGTCTACATATACCCGTTTCCTAATAAAACTACGATCCAATTTCACTGGTGACAACAAAAAATCTATTAGCTAGAGATATTCTCCTTTATATCTTCCCTCAGCTTCCACAATCCCGGAATCGAAAAAACATGTTTACCGGAAAAAACCGGGATCACAACGCCCCAAATCCAGCCGAAGTAGCTTGGAGAGGGTTCGAATATAGCTATAGACACAGCAGTGAAAAGGGTTCATCGACCC